GGATTGTTAATTATTTCCTGTAAATCCATGTAGATCTGCTGGAAAAGTCCAGAGTGACTTTCCAGTTGTCTGAAGAGAGGAGCTACCACATCTTCTATCAGATACTGACCGGGCACAAGCCAGAGCTTATAGGTAATGTGAGCATATTAGGTCTTAAAGCATGATTTAACTTTAAGACATTTTTATAAGAAATGTTCTGTTTCTCCTCAGAAATGCTCCTCATAACAACAAACCCGTATGACTTCCCCATGATCAGTCAGGGGCAGATTTCTGTGGCCAGCATCAACGACATAGAAGAGCTGGTGGCCACGGACGTGAGTCAGCTCTGCAGTTCTAATCATTTGCAATGACATACAAATTTAAACTTTAGCTCATTATTTGTCATGTTTCACAGACTGCCATCGACATCCTGGGCTTCAGCAGCGAAGAAAAAGTCTCCATCTACAAACTGACTGGCGCTGTGATACATTATGGGAACATGAAGTTCAAGCAGAAGCAGCGTGAGGAGCAGGCCGAGCCCGATGGCACCGAGGGTGAGTCCTTCTGCCTTTTCATTATCAATAAACACACCGTGAATGTCTTTATGTCAAAGAAGTCCTTTTGTCTCTCAGTGGCAGACAAAGTCGCCTTCCTCATGGGCCTGAACTCTGCTGACCTGCTGAAAGGACTCTGCTACCCCAGAGTGAAGGTGGGGAATGAATATGTCACCAAAGGCCAGACAGTCCCTCAGGTACAGTAACAGCATAAAGACTCTTAAAGCGCGATAGTTTGGACTGATAGTTTAAATGATTGCACCAGAGGGTGATGCAAAGAGAAGTGTTGTCGCTATCCTCCTCACATCAGCTGGAAAACAAATCCTGTGATCAGAGTCAGATCTGTGTGAAGGGCATGAATGTTTCATAAGAGCTGTCATCTCCAAGGACTCCAAGATAAAACCCAATGACAAAAATAAAAGTATGTAAAACTCACATTACAAAGATTTCTAATGGACTTTAATGTGATGAATCCTGTTAGGTGCTGGTAACATGTTCACTGGTTCCCATTATTCCACCTAATCAGGGAGATTTGGTGTTTGTTCATTTCCACTACTTTGCTGAATCAGGGATAAGCTTCAGCGCTTAATAATAAAATCTCTTTGGATTTTACATTTGTTTTGGCAGATAGAGTTGTCTGCCTCACTTGTTAGGCCCCCAGGTGGAATTAAAAATACTGATAACATTTTCCAGTCTAAGATAAATAGCTACTAATAATTGCAACAGTTGTACTAACTGGACTGTCAAGGACTCACATTTCTCTGTGTAAGAAATACATAATGTGGATTCAATGCTTAGACAAAATACAGCTTTTTTGTAGGCATAATCTTCCTGCATTTGTTTGCTTGGGCACCTTTCTATATACATGCAAAATAGCAAGAAAAGAAGAGCAGCGCAGGTGAGATGGACTGCAGTTGGATGCCAGTTTACTAAAGTAAAAAGTCTCAAAGCCCCATCAAAAACAACATTAATTGGTCTTTGCTCGAGCAGAACTGCTTTCCGAGTCTGACATTTAAGTCAATCAGCACCTGTCAAAGACTGAGTCCTTATAAAGGAACTCAAAATAAGCTTCTTATAAACAATTCCTTTAAAGTCCAGCCACAATGATGTCATTGCCATGTATTAAAATGTCATAAAGTGATGTTAGTGTAATGTTCTCCCCAATCATACAGTTATGCTAAACGGTGGCTGGAGACTATGATGCACAATTGTATAATGAATTTAAAATGGCAGTAAGACGAATCAGTGTGTGATTGAATATCAGCTTGTAATTTCTATGCAATCTGTTTGTGGTAATTTGATAATTAACTATGATAAATGTGCAAAAATATCAAATCTGTTGTTGTCTACATACATAAACTATTATTTATAGTCAAGCCGGAACACCGTAGTCCTGAAACAGAAACTCTTCCATACACAGTGACACAGTTGCTGCAGGACAGATGCATAACCATATATAACCATAACACAGTCAGTTGGTCCAATATTGCTTTTAAGAGACACATTGAAGACGAGTTGCACTCATTGGTGCACACTGACTCAGAC